GAAAGGAAAAATTGAAATCGCATCATATGACCCCTTTAAGCCTTGTGCAACGTAAAGGGCATATATATATATTAATGTCTATCTTAGTTAAGGGTGTACTCACACTAATGATTTGCAGCTTTACTCGCAAACTAACGTACATTTCCTGTTCATCAATAAGGTAAGAACTAGAGCCATTATAAACCTAAATATACTTGATTGAGTTAAATTTATTGAAAAGTGTAGTGTAGTGTAGTAGTAGTAGCCTAATAGAATATGTTTGCGGTCGTAATGATGACAGTAGCGCACACAAAATAGGATCTGCTCCGTGCTCCGGCGCGGTTAGCGCTCACACTGCATGCGTACCGCGCCCGAGCCCAACCGAACCGTGCCCTGGATCCACCTCTTCCAACCGGGCCAGGGCCGGCTAAACAAACCTCTTCCAACCGGGCTTTGGGGGTCAAACGCGCTCGGGCGCGGTTCAAAACGCCTAGTGTGAGTACACCCTTAGTTTGGGCTCAAAACATAACAGCTGCAAAGAGTTTAATTGGCAAAAAAAATGAATGTCTACGGAGCGAGAACGAGGTGTGGCGGTGAGGACCCGGGAGAGAGGGGTTACATTGGTGCCGTGACCCGGATGGGAGTGAGGTTTAGGGGGGTGAGTGTAACGGAGGCCAGCGAGTAGGTGCTGTGCAAGGTAAACCTCACTCCCCTGATCTCAAGAGACGCACTAGCGACTGATGCTAGTGGCTGTAGCCATTTAGCCTCCTTGTTAGTGCGTCCGCCTTCCATGCCGGAGACCCGGGTTCGAGACCCACTCGGAGCGAGAACGAGGTGCGGCGGAGGGGACCCGGGAGAGAGGGGTTACACAAACATGTTACGTTTAGTGTATAAATGTACAAAAAAAGAAGAACAGAAATTATCTTGATCAAAATAATATTATCTTAGGTGAAAAAGCAGAGGCAAAAAAATAAGGACTTCTCATGTGTGTGTGCGCGGCCCTGGACGAATCTTTTTAATTAAGAGGGATACTTTCCTGTTGTACCCGTCTTAATGCATTAAGCCAAATTAAGTGTTTTAAAATGTCCCGAACAGAATGAGGACTGTGCAAAGTAGTCTGTCTATTTGTCTGTGTAAAGTTTTCCTCTAGGTGATCCAGACCCTCTCAGACTAGACCAGTGGATGCTCAACGTGAAACGGCTCAAGATGGCGACGACCGGCTCCGCCCACTTTGGGCTTCAAAAAAGCTCTTCAGAATTCAACGGGTGACGTCACGGACACTACGTCCATGTTTTTTTTACAGTCTATGGTTGTACCACATTCAGTCAGGCATATTAACATTAAACGGCACGCATTTTTTCCTGATCAGACGCTTGCTATTAGAAGTCATTGTTTTTTATCCGATCTGCATGATTGTTGGACAAGTTCTTTCATCTGTGTCCAGCTTGTACATATTAACTATACTCTCTCACTGTCTGGAATCTCAAACACATTCCTACTTTGGTCAGGCTTTCGGCAGGGCAGCCGCAGCAGCAAGAGCAAGGGTCATTAATATTCAATAGTACGTGCTGACCTTACCTGGTGACTTTTCAAGAGCGTCCAATCACGCAACTTAGTTAATATTCATTAGACGTCCCTTCACCCTAGTAGGATTCGTAAACTCGCGCTCTGGACTCAGGTTGAAATCAATCCAGCTGCGTGCTTGCACGAGACCATATCAGCTCTACACACACAGCACCCACAACATGGTAAGAAAAAAAACATATAAAAATCTTTTTACTTTTATTATTCTTATCGTACGTGGATTAACAACCACTTTGTGCATAACTCTCAAACTTGCAAATAAATGCATTACATTGCCACAAACGAAATGCCTCAAATATATTGGAAATGGCTGGGCAGGTATGGTGTTATTTTTATTTTCACATTAATTTTTTTTTTATCTTACGTTTTATTGTCTATTATACGATTTCCATTAACTTGAACTAACCATTTTTAGACAATCGAGTAAAGGACTTTTCGCCGATTCATTGTTTTGCCATATAACCCTGTTCGTGTAGATTTTAAAAGCATATTCTATTGTGCGCATGTTGTCATTAACATATTTCACACTGTTAATCTTTTTAATAGAGCAATCATGGTTTTACGGTCTGTTCGTGCAGCAGCATTAGTTCAGCAGATTAGACTGTTGCTAAGAGACCTGTTGATGTCAGTCAGCTTTATCAGTGTTGGAGCTTCATTATGACTGACGTGTTTTGCATCATTTGCACAGGCATTCTGACACAATATACTGATGGTTCAGTCTGGGACAATAGTGTTTGGATAGTACAAAAAGAAAATGCTGACACAAATCAACTTAATTTCCCTTTCATTCAATTAAAAGTGCACAAAATGTATTACAAAGTTTTGCACAAGCCTATATAAAAAGTCTATATTTTCAGGTCAGTTACCTTTTTATAAATGTATATTTTAATGTCTTATTGTAACAAGTGTTTAAAGCCCATGTGATCTTTGCTGAAAGGGCAAAAGGGAAGAGTTAAGTAGTTTAGGAATTTCATTACTCCAACCACCACAGGAATATGGTGGAAGCTCTTAAAAAAAAAATACAAGTCATCATTGTTTCCATATGGGGTTCACAACAACCAATCACAGTGCTTTTTTTCCGAAACATCCCCCTTGGAATGGTTGTTTAAGAGTGTGAGTGTTTGCAAAACTGTTCAAATGTGTCTGTTCTATTAACAAATAATGATTATATCTAAGTATGTTCAATATAATTATTATAATAATAGTTTAATTAATATATATATGCTTGAAAGTTTGTGAACCCTTTACAATTGTCTATATTTCTGCATAAATATGCAAATATTTATTGATATGCTGGAATGCAGTGTTTTCTTTCTCCAAACATAACGCTGCTCATTTAAACCAAAAAATTCTATTTTGGTCTCATCTGTCAACAAAACATTTCTCCAGTATTCCTCTGGCCTGTCCACATGATCTTTAGCAAGCTGCAGACAGGCAGCAATGTTCTTTTTGGAGATCAGTGGCTTTCTCCTTTCAACTTTCACCCTCAAATTAACAGCTAATCATAGAGATTCACATACTTTTGCTCCGCACAGAAATGTAACACTGGGTCATTTTTCTCAATAAATAAATGACAAAGAAAATATTTTTGTCTCATTTGTTTGGTTGGGTTCTCTATGTCTACTTTCAGGATTTTTGTGAAAATCTGATGATGTTTTGGGTCATATTTATGCAGAAATATAGAAAATTGTAAAGGGTTCACAAACTTTCAAGCAGCATTGTATATATATACACACACAAATTATTAAAGTTATTAGAAATTATTATTAAAAATATTAGAAATTAAAGTAATAATAAGTAAGTTAATATAACTGAACACAAATTGTAAATAAAACATTTCACAATATTAGTTTTTACTGTATTTTTTTATCTGTGTGTGTACACACAGACTACATACTACATTTTACTCTCAGAGATGGCATGATTTGTAACGTTCTTACAAAGTACACAAAACCCACATACATGGAATTGTAGAATATTTTCTAACAGAACTGTTTTAAACACTCAGGCTGGGAAGATCCAGACTCTTACTATGGAGGAGAGGGAGCACCTTCTGCCCATGATGAGAAATGCTCAGTGGGTGGAGGTGGTGGGGAGGGATGCCATTTACAAAGAGTTCCTCTTCAAAGACTTCAACCAGGTAATAACTTCTTTAAAACTGACAAGAGAGACTAAGGCTATAAAACTATTTATAGTTATATACTTCAAAATGCATATACATGTGGCTTGCATCACACTTTTATGTACTGTGTATGCACAATGCTAGGACATGCTCTTTCCCCTTTAGGCTTTTGGGTTCATGTCCAGAGTAGCACTACAGGCTGAGAAAATGGATCATCACCCTGAATGGTTTAACGTGTATAATAAGGTAAATAGATAATACGGCTCATCAGTGTACCATTTTGTAATACATTGGGGGCCATGGCTGTGAGTGCAGTAGTGTGCTTTTTTAAAAATATTATAAAATAAATTATTAATTGTAGAAATTATTCATATTTAATAATAAAATATATTGTAAATAATATAATTTAGAATATATATATATATATATATAGAGAGAGAGAGAGACTAATTAATATTTTTAAATATAAAAGTTTCAGAGAAGAAACAAATTACATTTTGATGATTATGAAGACAAAAATTTTCCTTTTGCACTGAATAATTGTCAATAAAACTAGGAATGTGTTTTAAAGAAGGTCAATTAATGCAGTTAATTTTGATTTCATGTTGACTGTATCCTGTCTGCCTGTTTTCTCTCTGGTAGGTTCAGATCACCCTCAGTACTCATGAATGTGGAGGACTCTCACAGCGTGACATCACCCTTGCAACCTTCATAGATCAGGCCTCTGTCCTCTGAATGGACCCTCTCACTTGACAGCTCGTCAGTCGACCTCTGTAGCCTGTAAAACTGGACCAAAAATATTGTGAAACTTCATTTACCACAGTTATCACCATATCAGTTTTGACTGTGTGTAGTCTGCCTGTTACGCCTAATATTTTCCCAAAAAGTATTAATGGAACAGTCAGGAGAAATTTCATCTTTTAAATTATTTTACATTCACAATACATGTACTACAGATCAGAGATGAGAATTGCTAGCACACTAAAGAGACCGGTCAAGCCCTATTACCTTACTGTGTTTTATGGCTTAGTCTTTTTTTAAAAAAAAAGTAAATATATGGTGCCTTTATTTTCATTTGATGTGACCCAGCGATGGCATGGTTAGTGCCTCAGTGAATTGTATTAGACTGAATATTTGCCAACTTTGGCGCTGTGAAATTTATGAATCATCTGTCAAAGCACTTGCCTACTGTTTAATCAATGATGTCACAAAAACATGTTGAGTTTAAAACATGCACAGCAGCTCTGAAGAATGGAAAAAGAACACAGAGCCTCATGTCGAACTTGTGCAAACATAAGGGCTGGCTTATACGGAATTTTACATAGAAAAATAATGGAAAAGCAGTGCAGTAAATGCAAAAACAAGTTCTATAAAACAGAGAAAAGTAAATATATTACACGACCAGCATATTTATTTCAAGACAAGGTTTATTGATTTATATAGGAACAACAAAAACATTACAGGACAAAATTGAAATGGACTGCATGACGTGGTAAAGGCCTAGTCCCTGATGTAGCTAGTGTTAACCTAATAGCACACACCCTGACGTCTGTGGAAGGCATTTAGGTGAATGCGGTTAGTTTTGTGCTTCATACAACCATAACCGTAGAGGTCATGTCATGCTTCAAAAATTCAGATCAAGGTGCCTCATTTTCAGTAGTTACAGTAATTACAGATTATTGCATAAAGACATTAAAATGCTTCATTTAGGCAAGAAGGGTAACTGTTAGAAGACAAATATCCACGTCTACGTCCTAGCCTAAGGCATGTTACAGTTCTTGAGACTACACTGTAATACGGTGTTATCATACAAAAGAACACCGTCCTACCTCCTACTTGAAGTACCCCAAAAAGAGGTTAAAAAAAGTACATGGAAATTACTGAATAATAATAAAAAAAAAAACATTGAAATATGAGACGTTATATTAGTTTAAAATGTAAAAACACACACAGTGGTCACAAATATTATGAGTGCTTAAGGGATTACATTGCTGACAAGATCTGGTGTGATGTTTCCATGGTAACATGTCATCATCATGATCCTCATATCACAGACTTCATGCACAAATTAATTTCCCTTCTTGCTGTTCCAGGTCTTTTTTAAGATTTTTAAAAGTAGAACTGTTAAATTGAACGTCATGTTTTTAGAAAGCTGCAAAAGACAGAAGCTCAACGCATCTGTCAAGCACGTTTTCATAGAAAAATAATAAAAAGGTAGTGCAGTGAATGCAAAAACAAGTTCTGAGTGAACGGCCCCTTATTCAGTAAAACAGTGAATAGTAAATCTATTGCTGACCAGCATATTTATTTCAAGACAAATTTTATTGATTTATATATGAACAACAAAAACACAGGACAAAATTGAAATGGATTGCATGATGTGGCAAAGGCCTAGTCCCTGAGGCTGATGTAGCTACTGTGTTAACCTAATAGCACACACCCTGACGTCTGTGGAAAGCATTTAGGTGAATGCGGTTAGTTTTGTGCTTCATACAACCATAACCGTAGAGGTCATGTCATGCTTCAAAAATTCAGATCAAGGTGCCTCATTTTCAGTAGTTACAGTAATTACAGATTATTGCATAAAGACATTAAAATGCTTCATTTAGGCAAGAAGGGTAACTGTTAGAAGACAAATATCCACGTCTACGTCCTAGCCTAAGGCATGTTACAGTTCTTGAGACTACACTGTAATACGGTGTTATCATACAAAAGAACACCGTCCTACCTCCTACTTGAAGTACCCCAAAAAGAGGTTAAAAAAAGTACATGGAAATTACTGAATAATAATAAAAAAAAAAACATTGAAATATGAGACGTTATATTAGTTTAAAATGTAAAAACACACACAGTGGTCACAAATATTATGAGTGCTTAAGGGATTACATTGCTGACAAGATCTGGTGTGATGTTTCCATGGTAACATGTCATCATCATGATCCTCATATCACAGACTTCATGCACAAATTAATTTCCCTTCTTGCTGTTCCAGGCCTTAGCTATCATTCAGTTGAGTTAAGCTGGAACAAAGATCCCAATCAAATACAACACACAAAAGAAAGACTCACGAATCAAGGGAGTCTTTGACTCTCTGAAAACAGTTGTCAGCGAGTACCATAACCTGGAGCATGACATTGACTGATGATCAAAATGCCCAATTACATGACATTTCTCAGGATTTAGACAAAAGGGAAACAATGAGTAAGTGTACAATTATTTGAACTATTAGATATGAGGTAGATAGGATGAAATGTGAAAATTGAAAACCCAAATGGATGGGAATTTGAACCTGGAAATATGGTTGAACTTCACAACCTGGTGGGTGGATTTGTTAAGTTTTGCCCTGATATCACTTTCCACAGGTAATTTAAAACCAGAGAGATATTTTCTCTTAAATAAGATGAATGTTTTGAGACTGGATTATCAAATATATCCTAGTTATGGGGAATTTAAAAGAAATAAATAAAACTAAACATTTGCAATACAGGTTCACCTGAGCAGTACTACCATCCGAAAACGGTCTGCTATGTTTTCAAGTTTCTACTGAGAAGGAGATATAGCGAATATATAAAATCCTAACTCCATGATTTATCCATGTTGATAGTATTATGGATATTGGTCTAATCTGCATTATTTAATTCCTGGGAAGTGTCAAAACAGTCTGTCAATAACATGTCAAATGTAAAGTCATTGTGACAACATTATGCCCTGGCATCCTGAGGTTTAAGTGGCACACTTCCAAAGAATATAGTGGAAATGTGATCAAATACATATGGTGTGCACTGGTCCTAAAAATAAGAAATTGACCAAATGAAACAAGGAAAACTGCACTCACTGGTCACCAAAATTAAATGAATATGTCCCAGACCCTTCAAAGACTCTCATAGATACTTGTGCACCTGTCTCTGTAGTCTTATAGACAGGATACTGTCGCTCCTTAGTCACAAATCCCAAAATATCAGGTGACTATGGCTTATACATAAAATAGTTAGTTGTAAATAGTTGACTGAATGAAGTAAATGGATTAGATGATTACAGTGAACATCCCTTTAGCCAGCTAAGGGTGGAGACCCCGACAGTCAATCTCAGTGCGCTTTAGAGTTGCCATTCATGTGGTTCTTATGGTTTTTGTGGTGCTTGCTCTGTATCTTGGGCACCTCAGTGCTATAGAGGCAGTCCAAAAAGCCCTGTGAGACCTCAGTCACCATCGTTCGGTCAGGAATGGATTGGGCCATGCCATAGATTGCTCCCTACAACATAAAGGGGGAAAGTTAATTCAGGGTTATTTATTCATTATGGTTTATCAGATGAGATTATACATGTACAAATAGACTGAAGTGGACTCGAGTGCCAAGTGAGGATTTTACTCATCTGCATTCATACGGACAATGATTATTTTGTCTGAAAATATGACCATATAAATCTCAAAATGTGAAGTTCAACCGAGACATACCAAAGCAGCCGTACCTTTTAGTTTTTTTAATGACAATTCTAGACAGAATTTGGTTAGACAAAAATCAGTTTAAATGCATATATCTTTTAGAAGTTAATTTTGTCAACATGTAGAAATACAACAGTATGGGGTAAGATTTTTATGAAATTAATACATTTTTCAAGTATGAAAATATTAAACTGATCAAAAGTGACAGTAAAGACCTTTATATTTGAACTTTCTATTCATGAAAGTATCCTAAAAAATGATCTGTTTCCACCAAAATATGAAGCAGCACATTTTTTATTACATTGATAATACAAAGAAATGTTTGTTGAGCACCAAATCAGCATGTTAGAATGACTTCTGAAGAATCATATGACACTGAAGACTGGAGTAATGGCTGCTGACAATTCAGCTTTTCCATCACAGGAATAAATTACATTTTAAAATATAATAAAACAGTTATTTTAAATTGTAATAATATTTCTCAAAATTACCATCATTTACTGTATTTTTGATCAAATAAAAAGGAAACGCACCATCCCCGTGGTCTTCTCTTTAGGATTCTTCATGATGATGGCTACTTCTCTCTTCACATCACTGATGAACTGCTCAGCTACACCAGGCTGTGTGTGTAGCATTGTGACACAAATATGGATGCTGAAAGAAAGAGAACAACAAAAAGCCACAAACAATGAGGAACCACTTTTCTGACGAAAATTGATGCACTGAGGCCTTTACATAAAAACAATAATAAATAATGATCTATGTGTATTTTTCCTAACCTGACTAACTTTCATTCTGTTTTAGGGATATTACATTAGTTTGCATAAACTGCACATTTCACATTGAACACATTTTGTTTTTAACCATACCTGGATGGGAACTGCAGAGTGTTGAGATTCCAGCCCTTTGAAGTCAGTGCATTTGATAAGCGAAAGATATCAAAAACATCAGAGCCTAGAGCCACCACAGACACTTCTGGATCCCCGAATACAAACACCCCATCTATTTTGCGGATTCTGTGGGAAGAGAGTTTTTTTTTTTTTTTAAGATATTGTTTCTGTGTACAGGGCCTTTCCTGGCATGTAAATGTTACTTGTCATGCAAATTTACATTTACCACAGTTGATATACATTCAAAGCAACACCTTGCCTGTGTCCTTCATGTATTATACTACAAATGGTATTAATACTGACCCTGCTTTGATTTTGCGGGCTGTCCCAACGACTTTCCTGGTGGCCTCAACATATCCATTCTCACCCATGTGCATCATAGTAGCCCAACAGGCAGCAATTATGCCTCCAGGCCGAGAGCCAGCCATGGACGGAGACGCGTAAATTCCTCCCTGCCAATCAGGAGCTACGAAATACTGGTAGTGGCGAAATTTCTTGTCACTGTAGAGCACCACTGAGGAGCCTTTGGGAGCATAACCATACTGTGGGGACAAAGACACTGATTTTTTAAATTAAACCAACTTTGAATTTAACTTTAATCTTCATCATGAAGATATCGGGACAGATAACAATAAAAATAGTTGTAGTTCTGTCAGAGATCATTTGCATAAACGTTTTAATTCATGACAATAACATGTAAAAAAAAATACTACTGTTCAAAAGCTTGGGGTAAGATTTTAATGTTTTTGAAAGAAATCTCTTACACTCACCAAGGCTGCATTCATTTGATCAAAAATACAGAAAAAACAGTAATATAGTGAAATATTACTACAACTTAAAATAATTGGCTTTTATTTTAATATATTTAAAAATGTACTTTATGCAGTGATGGCAAAGCTTACTTTTCAGCAGCCATTACTCCAGTCTTCAGTGTCACATGCTCCTTCAGAAATCATTCTATTTCTAATAGGCTGTTGTTTACAGCTGAAAACAGTTGTGCTGCTTTTTATTTTTGTGGAAATGGTAATACATTTTTCAAAATAACAGCAGTGTTAAATTCTTCTTATTATTATTTTTTCAATCTTACTGATCCCAAACTCATTAACAGTATTTATTTTGTATTCATTAATTTCTCTCACTTTCAAGTTCTCACCTTATGTGTATCAGCTGAGATACTGGTCACGCCTTTGACCCGGAAATCAAAGGGATCAAGTTTGAAACCCGCCTTTTCCATAAAAATTATTAGGAACCCACCCAAGCATGCATCCACATGGAATGGGATGTTGTATTTTACTGCAAGCTAAAAGAATAAAAAAAACAACATTTAATTATATTTAAGAAAGAATACACTACAGATTAATTTATACCACAATACAAAAGCATTGAATTACATGCCCATCTGAATAAGCAAATGTTACCTTCGCCACTTCCACTACAGGGTCCATAATTCCATGGGGGAACTGAGGAGCTGAACACACCAGCATTGCTGTGTTTCTAGAGATGGCCCTCCTCATTGCCTATGACCAAAAAAAAGCGGACATTAAAATTAGGTGAACATCATGCTGGTCAATATTCACAAAAATGTGCCTGTCTGCTGTGGACAAACCAGACAGCAGTACCTTCACATCCACTTTCATGGTCTTCTTGTCCAGAGGTATGTGAATGAGCTTCATCCCAAAATAATGTGCTGCTTTGTCAAACGCTGCATGGACACTCACTGGTGCAATACTAGCGCATAGACAAAACAAAAAATTACACAATGGGATTGAATAAAACAACTGCCTTTAAGGTGCACTAATGAGCACCAATTCTGTCCAAGTAAAATAAAACTCAGTAAAAACTGAGTGCATTTTTAAATATAATGTTGCAGTGTTTATACTTCCTAAGTAAATTAATAGCCAACCGTAGCAAACCACTTATTTGTTTAAATTGTTTACAGTGTGGGTTGACAGCTACTGTTAATTGACCTAAACAGAATTAGAGTATTATGACTGCAGAGGCTGAATGTTTTGACTAGACTGAGATAGTACATACATCTCTGGGTGTTTAATGCCACGTTCATGAGCCATGTCTCTGTATGCCTTGCATGCCATCAGGATGCTTTCTGTTCCACCTGAAGTAACCTTTTCATGAAAGGAACACACAAAAAATTTTTTTTTGTTTTGAGTGAACAGCATTATAATGACTTGATATGAAGAAACTTGATATTATACAATACGGTTTCAGATTGTTAAACAATGGACTGATAAATGAGCAAATGGATTGCTTAGGATTAGCTGGAACGACTCTCAAATTGTCCCAAACATGCTGTTCAAAAACTGTCTAGATGAATGAAGCACCAAAGTCAAGCCGCTTTTCCAGGGTATCTGCAGGATTTTTAAAATCATATTAAAGACTTTTTTTTTTTAAGACCTGCACAAATAAAATTAAGATCATATAAGTGGGGTAGGGCCACTTGTCAAAAAAGCATGATTTACAGTTCAGTTAGAGGTTTTCACACAATCAAAAAGTTTTATAAAATGATAAACTTCACATTCCTTTAAACCATTTTTAAGAAAAGGGATAAGTCAAAAGCATCAATTATTACATAAATTTAAACAATTATTACTAATCAATTATATTAATTTAATAACTTGTATATCTTAGTGGCTTAATCGTTTAGATCTTTGATCCACTGGTTCACATCTACAACTGAGTGTTTGCTGTGTAAAAGTATGGGCTGATTTTCGCTGTGGTCTGAACAAAAACAGAATGGATTATTGAAAAATGCAAATTGATTCTCTGCCAGCAGGTGGCGCTTTTGGAGCGGCAGAATATGCAGAGGGCATAGAAAAGAATTACCCCTTTTAAAATAATCACATTTTATTGCTTTGTAGCCTGAAAAGACGGACGGACACAGTATTAGTTTTATCCAGCCGCATTTACTTATAACATCCAAGTGAAAGATATAACACCAACATGTCAGAAAACAATAAAAAAAAAAACAATCACTGAGTTGGATAAAGGATCACACCCCTAGTTTTACTGTAGGAATGCTGTTTGGATGGTGAGCTGTACTGGATTTTAGCCAGACATATCGTTTGGTGTTGAGGCCAAATAATTCAATTTGTCTCATCTGCCTCAGAATCTTCAAGGTGTGTTTTGGCAAAGCTCAGTCGTGACTGCATGTGGATTACTTGAGGAGTGGCTTTTTTCTTGCAACCCTCCCATACAAGCCACATTTGTGGAGAATTTGTGATATTGTTGTCACATGCACACAATGACCACTCTTTGTCATAAAATCCTGCAACTACTTCAGAGTTGCTGTAGGCCTCTTCGTAGCCTTCCTGACCAGATAAAGCCTTTGACATTTTTTTGTATCCGTCTCCTGACTTGTGCCTGTCCACAACTTTATCCCGGAGATCTTTTGCCACCCATAGTTGATTGTTTGCTTCAGTTGCACTACCAAGGACTGAAATGCTTCAGGAAAGCTCTTTTCATGCTGAGCTAATCAAAATGACCACATCTTGAAAGTCAAATGGCTTTTTGTGCCATTGAGAAGGTGATTAGCTACACCTGATTGAGTTTACAAGTCATTTTTAGGAGGGGGTGATCCTTTTTCCAACTCAGTGATTCTGTTTTTTT